ATGGTGAGCACGCTTCTGCGATAACAGCGTCGACACAGGGAAGAAACGCCATATCCGTAAGTGTGTAAGTTTGGAAAGCGGTGCCATAGCTGCTCGAAAAAGAGAAAGAGATTGAAAAACAAGAGAGGAAAAACTTATGCATACGTACCATCATTCCCGCCATAGCAGCAATCGATCCACCGAGAGAGTGTCCGGTAAATCTCAAAGAAAAGCCTTCACACTTCCCACCGGGACCGAGTATGGAAGTCAAAAAACCAGTTTTTTTCGATGATCCAGAGCTACCTGCTAAAGAAATGAACTTAAAGAGCAAGCCTTTTTTTTTCCAAACCTGAAAGCTCGGGATTATCTTCAGGGCTGTCCAACTCGAAGGCAAGCTCTCTGGCCGCCGCCACCACACCGGCATGGCCATAGTGAGGATTTGACGACGAGATTTCAAGCTTTGCTGTGTCAGACAAATGACCAGACCTGCGTAGAGTATCAAACTTGTAGGGAATGAGAGCGAGAGCACTACGTACATGAACAATCCTTGAAAATCAGTGTCGGCAAGGATGCATTCACGTCCCAGGCCATCTGTGAGAAGATCCTCCGGTGTTTCAGTCCCACGAACAGCGACAACAACCAACTTGAGTTCCTTCAACTCAATCACGAAGTAGACTGTCTCTCGGTTTCTCTGAAATAGTGAGTGACCAAGTCAGTTCGCGGGAAACTTGTGACGCTACAAACATCAAAACCTGGTGAATCCTTCCTTTCAAGAGCGCCTCGGCTGGGAGGCGAGCAGCACGAAGGAACGCAGTCGCATGGCCTCGCCACCAATTATCACCGTCGACACTCGGACTCCTGCAAGCCAAAGCTTAGTTAGCTGTTTCTCGGAGATGAAAGAAAAAACTCGAGCTACCTTTTGCGGTTCCATAAGCTGAGGAGTCCTTGCCGGTACATCCAAGCACAGGGAAAGAGTAGCGGTGTGCGTCCAATGTCCAGCAATGGTCCCTGGGAAGATCAGCAAGAGAACTCTTTGAAGCTGAGAGCATTGTTTTGACAATCGCAAACCGTGTACGCAGCCACGGCATATGGATGGAGAAGAGCAGCTTCTGTGACCAGAGGACCGGGAGCCGGAGGGAGATCTTTCGGAACTGGAGGCTTGGATTTGCGAGTTCTCAGAAGAGCAACACCTGTAGAAACAAAGAAGGATAAAAAAGCTTGCTCGCAAGTTCTATCCATGAATCTTTACCAGCGAGAAACTCGAGATGGCTTGCACCGGCAGCACGGTATGCAACAAGATCGCCTAAAAGTGCTGCCACCGTATCAACCTCGTCTTCATCCATGGTTGTCCTGGAGATTCATTCACAAGTACTGGATGAGCACACAAGAAAAAAGCGATTTTTCTTTCGCGACTCACAGATATCTCGATCGCCCAAGGCAGCAAAGCAGCTCTCGAATGCCGCGATCGAAAATCTCGCGGTAGTGAGCGCGCCATGCCTCGTGTTGCATCTCGTAGAGCGACCTCCAAGAGAGCACGTCCGAGCCAACGCAACACTGTGCCAAGACGAGCAGCCATGTAGCGATGGGAAGGATGACAAGCGTGTCTCGCAACAATGCCGCCGCGTCAGGGCCTGTGACACGAGAGAGAAAACAAAGGAGAAGATCCTATAGAGCTAGAACAAAGAGAAGATCCAAAGAACACAGTGCTTGATCCTTACCAGGAAAGCAAAAGGATGAACGACCGTTCCTCACAGCCAAGATGGTCAAGTAGCAAGCTCCTCCTGTTTGGAAGGAGGTGACAAGAACACCAAATCGTCCCCACCATAGCCACCTTCGATACCAAATCTGTGCTCGAGCAAGAGCAAAAAAGAGATGAGAATCCACATTGCTTGTTTCTTACCCGTCTCCCAATCCTGATCGCCGCGCTGGTGGCGCCGCTCGTCCTCCTCCGAGAAGCTGGGACGTGCTCCTCGGCGATCATGGTAACCGCGGTGGCGGCCTGGCACAAGCCAGTGCCCACCACCCAAGCCACTCGCGCGCAAGCGCCGCTAGCAACCAGCGCCGCCGCCACTAGCAGCGATCGTGGGCAGCCGCTGGAGGAGGACGACACCACAGCCATTGCGGTGCCCAGCGCGGAGATGCCCAAGTGGAGCACCAGCGTGACCACCACCAGCGCCCGGAGCGATCGCAGGAAGCGGCAGCATCCCTTTGACGAGTGGAGGATTTGCTCATCGCCACCGCCGCCACCCTCGTCCTCCTCCTGGCGCTCCTCGTGGTGGTGGCGGTGGGCATCGGCCATAGCGGCGGATGGTGACGGGCAGCCCGAGAAAGCAGCATCGCTGGGCTCTGTTTCACATTTCCTGGCGCGGTCCACGACCTGGATGCTTCCAATTGGCGATGTGGGTTGGAGGTTAATCGTCCTCCACTTTTATCACGGGGACCTTTATTGGATGTTTATTTCTTCTCGACTTGGTCGCTGGAACTTAAAGATCATCTCCTCCAAGCTTTTATGGAAGATCTCTTTCTTTTTTCTTTCCACTCTCTCGCACAGGATCACACCTGGAAGTGGGAGCAGTGTTGTCGAGTCCTGCGACACAGTCGACAGCTTTTAGTTGAGGCTGTTCCAGTAAGTGCCATGATCGAGATCCGAGGCTGTTCCACTCTGGAATGGATTCCTCGCTGAGAGTAGCTTCACGCCCTGCGCTCCTGCTGCTACCATCGCCACCGCCACCGCCCAGACGATCACAACTTCCTTCTCTCTAAGCCCATGATCGTGCTGCTCGATTGAAGAGCTCTGGAAACAAAGCAAGCACAAGTTAGAGTAACAAAGAAAACAACAGCAAGCTTACCTTTTCCTTGTGATGAATCGTTTCCGCCCGATCACACATAGCTACAATAAAGCACAGTTGGAATGTTAGAATGTGGAAGATCATATTGACACGTACCTGATGAGAGAGATCATAGATGAAACTTCCATATTTCCTGGTGTCCTGGATTTTTGAGGCTTGTACAAGGAAGTAGAATCTTCCACCTTGTGATTGTGTCAATCTCGGATGTTAAGCATAAACCAAAACGGCTTCCAGCTTAAGTTGCTTCTTGCCACCACCCCTCGAGAACAGGCCTCTTACGTTACTCCACAGATGGATCGGCTGGACGTTGCCCATAAAAGGAGCTTGCTCCCTCCAGAGAAGAGCAAACAATGCAGCCTTCCAAACCATTGTTGCTGCTGTTTGTGCTCATCAGATCGACTGTTGCTGCTGCTGCTGCTCATTCTCTGGACGTCAGATCCGTGCTCGAGGCCAGCGATGGAAGCACAAGCATCGGCTTCAGTGTCGTTCACAGGGATGCACCCAGGTCCAAGCTGAGAGACGAGAAGCTTGCACTAGAGCTTGATTCCGAGTCTTCTCCCACGCACCGTGATGCTGCCTTCAAAGATGTCATCCAGTACGTTCAAGCGCGGCAGGCTCGAGTAGCAAAACATCGTCGAAGTAAGCACCACCACCACCACCACCGCCACCACCACCACCATCACCACCATCGTAACCATGGAAAAAACGCCTTGACCGGGTTCACGAGCCCCGTTGTGACGCTGGGACAAGCCGGGCTCGAGTACTACGTGCCACTCCAACTCGGGACACCAGCAGTGGAAGTTGTTCTCATCATGGACACGGGCAGCGACGTCTCCTGGATCCAGTGCGTGCCTTGCAAAGACTGCGTGCCGGCTCTCCGGCCACCTTTCAATCCCCGCCACTCTTCCTCCTTCTTCAAGCTTCCCTGCGCCTCCTCCACTTGCACCAACGTCTACCAAGGTGTCAAGCCATTTTGCAGCCCGTCTGGAAGAACTTGCCTCTTCTCTATCCAGTACGGTGATGGAAGCTTGAGCTCGGGCTTGCTGGCCATGGAAACCATCGCCGGCAACACCCCAAACTTTGGAGATGGCGAACCTGTGAAGCTCAGCAACATCACCCTCGGTTGCGCGGATATCGATCGAGAAGGCTTACCGACGGGAGCGTCCGGGCTGCTGGGAATGGACCGGAGGCCGATCTCCTTCCCGTCGCAGCTAAGCTCGCGGTACGCTCGAAAGTTTTCTCACTGCTTCCCGGACAAGATCGCCCACCTCAACTCTTCCGGCCTCGTCTTCTTCGGGGAGTCGGATATCATCTCCCCGTATCTCCGATACACGCCGCTCGTCCAGAACCCGGCGGTTCCAAGCGCATCCTTGGACTACTACTACGTTGGCCTGGTCGGGATCAGCGTGGACGAGAGCCGGTTGCCACTGTCACACAAAAACTTCGACATCGACAAGGTGACTGGCAGCGGCGGAACGATCATCGACTCGGGGACTGCGTTTACGTACCTCAAGAAGCCTGCCTTCCAAGCGATGAGGAGAGAGTTCTTGGCGAGAACGTCTCACCTGGCCAAAGTGGACGATAACTCCGGCTTCACTCCCTGCTACAACATCACCAGCGGCACCGCCGCGCTGGAATCCACGATCCTTCCCTCGATCACGCTGCATTTCCGCGGCGGCCTGGACGTGGTGCTCCCCAAGAACAGCATTCTCATACCCGTGAGCAGCAGCGAGGAGCAGACGACACTGTGCCTGGCGTTCCAGATGAGCGGCGACATTCCCTTCAACATCATCGGGAACTACCAGCAGCAAAACCTGTGGGTGGAGTACGATCTGGAGAAGCTGCGCCTGGGGATCGCCCCAGCGCAATGCGCCACAGACTAACTAGATTCTCTACCTAAATGAAAGAGACAGTGATTTTAGGGTTCTTGAGAGTTGAGAGTGTTTAATTTGATGGAGGAGGTATCCTCGGCTGCTAGACAATACCGCGCGGAAGCTAGGCGGAGGTGGTTCCCGGAGCGATGGCGCAAGGATGGAGCTGGAAATGTTGGATGCGAGGGCTGTATGTGCTACTGATCACATTCGCTCCCTTCGTCAAAGGTTCCTTCTCGATCTTCTCGATCTTTGTCACAGTGCAATGGTGTGCGTGAATTTTTGGATACAGGAGGAGAGACCGATGTGAGCAACTGCCAGAGTTTGCAGTCGCGTGTCAATCGCTTGAAGAGCAACTGACGAACATCTACCCCAGCAGTACTCTAACTCTTGCGATCTCAAGTTCACAGGTTGGTGTTCTTCCTTCTCTCGAGCTTTCGCAGTGAAACTATACACACAGGATATCTTGTTTGTTTTGGTGTTTCCAGTACATCAGTGCCGTAAGTCGCGATCCCGAAGTTTGAGAAGAAAGAAGACGCCACACCAGCAAGATGGCTCCCAGCTGCCTCAAGGAGCTCAAGGTCTCGCTCGCCTCAAAACATCCGAAGCTACAGGCCACTGGCTCTTGTGGCCCGACTCTCTTACGGTTCTAGACTTCGAGGTGTGGGGCAGCCTTGAATTGCGTGTGGTGGTTGCTCTCGTGCTTCCGCAAGCTCGAGAGCTTCCGGATGGCTGGAGACTTCTACAGTTTTAAAAGCCTCTTTGCGAAGCTGCCAGTTTTGCAGCGCTACAAGTGTGTCGCGGCTTGCCCGATGCTGGAGTATCTCAGCGGGCTTTGTGGACACCTCGAAAGATCTCACGCTCAAGAGTTGCCAGCCTCGAGAGTTTCCAGTTTTCTGGGCGACGAGGTTGCAGCGAGAACGAGAAAGTTTAGGATGATCACCGGGTAAAGTCTTATCCTTTTTGCTTGTCTTTTTAATAGCCGTAGTTTTCTAGGGCAGGGAAAAGCTATGGCGGAGGTGGAAGCGATGGTGGAATTCCTTAAAGTAGTCATGGAATTCTCAAGGACAGGCGTGAAACCTGACTGGATAGAGGTGGAGTATGGTCCTTATGGCATCCGTGGATATAAGGATTCTAGGCCTAAACGGGTTAAATCTCAAGAGGAGTTGGAAGAGATTGACAGGAAGAACAAGGAGCTGTGGGAAGTGCACAGCCGTGGAAATGTATTTGGCACTATTTGCTCAAAGTGGGTTCGCTATGGGCGCTGTGGATTTGATGATTCGGATCCCTTGTGTAGCATGGAGCATCCTCCAGAGTATCGAGGTAAATCAGGCCTCATCCTGGATAATGAATTAGCGTTCGCTCGCCAGAGAGTCCAGAATGGCCAGGTTGACGGGAGGATCTTGCCTCCGAGTGGATGTAAGTCATTGAATCATGAATGACGATCAAATCTCTTTCGACTCGCAAAATTTGATTTTTGCGCGCTGCCATCATCCAAGAGGTGAGTCTCGTTGCTCTTTGTGTGTTCTCCAACCTCTCTTTGTAGGCCGGGGTGGAGAACGGTTGGGCAAGCTTCTGCATATGGTACCCCGATTTCTTTGCTCGGTGAGATCAAAGGCCACGAACCGGCATGCGAGCTTCGACCACGGCGCCAGCTCTTGACTTTGGACACACAGGTCTTTTTCTGTTCTTACTTCATTTTCTCTGTTCTATACCAAAGACTTGCTTCATTTTTTCTGTTCTATACCAAAGACTTGAAGTCGGTCACTTGGAGACGACAAGCGCGATTACACCAAGACTGGCTGGTCCATAGTCTATCGTCGACTCCGGAGATGGACTTCCACTGTCCTGGTTCTAAGGACTTGGCACTTCACGTCAACATTCTCTCAAGTGCAAAGCATGCCTGTACTGGTAATGCTGGAGAAATCCTCCGTATCAGCTTGTTCGGCACCTTCGCTTCACTGCCGGTTCCAAAAGGTACACGATTTCCCTGCTTACTTCATACCATAACAAACTTGCATTGCAGGGATACTCAAGAACGTCGCCGGCGTTTCGTGGTGCTTCTTGTTTTATTTCGCTGCGCCATTATCTCATCATTCTTCTATCATGTGAAACCTCTTCTCGGGGGTTCCATCTAACGTGTTAACTGTGCAGCAAATCCCCGTGTGGTGGAAGTGGTACTACACGAGCAACGCAAGAAACTCTAACTTATAAGTGAACACACGACGTAAGTAGCGAGGATCTGCGCTTTTGCTTCTGCGAACTTGCTAAGTATAATATAGCTGCAGACTTTTATGGAAGATCTCTTTCTCCCTGGATCACAATGGAGAGTCCTGGTAGCGCAGCGTGCAATCGTCGTTGAGCTTGACATCCACAGCGATGGCGTCGACACAGTCCAGCCACGCCTTGGCGATGATGTCGTCGATGCAGCCTCTGCACGAGTCCTGGCTTGGGAGGACGTTGGTGGTGGCGTTGCGGAGGCACTGCGCCTGGCCGTAGGCGGGGACGTCGCCCTCGACTCCCTTGTTGGTGCTGTAAGTCATGTTGGCGGCGGTGGGAGTGCTCTGGACGAGATCCGCCAGCGTCGCATTGAGGCTGTTCCAGTAAGTGCTCCCCTCTGGGATGGACTCGTCGCTGCACAGCCCCGAGAGTAGCTTCACGCCCTGCGCTCCTGCTGCTACCATCGCCACCACCATCGTACAGATGATCAAAACATCCTTCTTGACGCCCATGATCTTGCTGCTCGATCGAAACGAAGTATGCACAAGTTAGAGCAAAGAAAGAGAGCTTGCCTTTTCCTTGTGACGAGTTGCTTCCATTTTATCACAAAAACCACAAGTAGAATGTGAAAGATCACAAGTACCTTATGAGAGATATCACCATCTTTTCCTGGCGAGTCCTGGATTTCTTACGCTTGCACCAAGGAAGTAGAATCTTCCACCTTGTAATCGTGTCAATCTCAGATGTTAAGCATGGCTTCCAACTTAAGTTGCTTCTTGCCACGAAGATAGAAGACAAAGCAAACAATGCGCCTAATTCGAGCAGCAGCGAGGAGCACACGACACTGTGCCTGGCGTTCCAGACGCGGCGCAACATCATCGGCAGCAAAATCTGTGGGTGGAGTACGATCCGGAGAAGCTCCGGCTGGGAATGAATGCGCCACAGACTCGATTCTCCACCTAAATGAAAGAGACATTGATTTTAGGGTTCTTGAGAGTGTTTTATTTTGATGGAGGAGGCAACCTCGTCCTCCTCGTCGCCTCTGCCGGACAATGCCGCGCGGAAGCTGCGGCTTTTCGACGAGAAGATGCGCCGCCAGTGCTGGCAGAAGGCGGAGGTGGTTCCCGGGCGGCATCCGGAGCGATGGCGCAAGGATGGAGCTGGAAATGTGGTGTGCCGCAAGTTCATTGGATGCGAGGGCTGTATGTGCTACGAGTTTGATCACATTCGCCCCTTCTCCAAAGGTTCCTTCTCGATCCTTCGCTTCCTCTTCCTCACTCGCAGCCACATTGTAATTTTGTGCGTGAATTTTTGGATACAGGAGGAGAGACCGATGTGAGCAACTGCCAGATTTTGCAGTCGCGTGTCAATCGCTTGAAGAGCAACAAAGACGCTGACGAACATCTACTCCAGCAGTACTCTTGTGATCTCAAGTTCACAGGTTGGTGTTCTTCCTTCTCTTGAGCTTCCGCAGTGAATCTATACACACAGCATATCTTGTTTGTTTTGGCAGCGCGAGAGCTGGACCTGGTGGAGATGGCGGTGTATGGAAACGTGATACGTCCCGGGCTCCAGTGCCGGTGTAAGAGTGTGTCCGAGACGCTTGGAAATGGTGTCCATAAATCCAAAGGCCACGAACCGGCATGCGAGCTTCCATACAAGGCCCACGGCGCCGGCCCTTGACTTCGAGCAGACAGGTTTGTTTGTTTGTTTGTTTACACTGCTTGCTGGTCTCGCGAACTTCGTGTTTTTTATCTGTTCTTCTTATTTCATTCTTTTCGTTCTCTACCAAAGACTTGACCCCCCCGCTGCCGCATTGTAGCTAGTCAGTCAGTCGGCCGGAAACGACAAGCAGGATTTTGATTTCCATACTGCGGCGGCGACGAGACTGGTTGGCTCTCTTGTCCTATAGTTCGAAAGAACCATCGGTGACTCCGGAGGAACATAATGCACTCCCACTGTCAAGAGGTACTCTTTGGGTGATTCAAATCTGTGTGAAGTGTTTCTTGATCCAGGGACGATAGATAATTCTGGATCTCGTTTCCTAACCACAAATGTCAACGGACAATCCTCTCTGGAACAACCCGCTCACGAGGAGCTCCCGGAGAGAAGGCACTGTCTTCTCACGGTCGTCGACTCGTGAGAGGCAACTAAATGAGGAGGAAGCACTGCTGTGGGCCGCACTTGAGAAGCTGCCTACGTACAACCGGTTGAGAACTTCAATTCTCAAAGATGTGTCTGGTAGCAGGCTTGAACAGGTCGATCTTTCAAAGCTCGGTGTTGAGCACAAGCAGAGGATTGTGCAGACGATAATTGGGATTGGCGAAGAAGACAACGAGCTGTTCTTGTCCAAGTTACGGGATAGGATTGACAGGTATCTCTCGCTCCTGTTTTTGCTTGACTTTTCAAACTAAGATCTCCTACTCTTGTCCAGGGTCGGCTTAAAACTCCCTGAGATTGAAGTTCGTTTCAAACACCTTCATGTCGTTGCACGCGTTCACGTTGGAAGCAGGGCTTTGCCAACGCTATGGAACACAACACTCAACTGGATAGAGGTTTTAACTCATCTGCCTGTGTCCGATGTTTCTCAAATCTGCATGCTCCAGAGCATACTGGACATGGTGCGCCTTGTTCCCACCAGGAAAAGATCCCTTACCGTCCTAAACAACATTAGCGGGATAATAAAACCATCGAGGTCGGTTTCATGTCCATCTCTTTCCTTGCGTAAATCGGGAAGCTTTTCCAGGATAACACTGCTCCTTGGACCTCCCGGATCTGGAAGAACCACATTTCTTCTCGCTCTTTCTGGGAAGCTCAGCGATGACTTGAAGGTCAGACTGAAATGGACCGTTGCACTGCCTAAACTTTAGAATTTGCAGGTAACTGGAAGTGTTACCTACAATGGTCATGAATTACACGAGTTTGTGCCTCAAAGAACTGCTTCATACACAAGTCAAAATGACGTACACCTTGGCGAACTGACAGTACGGGAGACATTTGACTTCTCATCGCGCTGCCAAGGTGTTGGCTCTTCATACGGTCTGTATGTTGTTGTTACTTGCTCTACAAACTCCAACTTCTCTTGCCTGCAACGCAGAAATGTTATCTGAACTGGCCAAGCGTGAGAGAGCAGCAGGAATCAAGCCAGATCCAGATATCGATGCGTTTATGAAAGTATGTGATGTTCTGCTCGTGATCCTGACCTGGATTTGTGCTGGCATTTGCAGGCCTCAGCCATTCAAGGCCAAAGAACAAGTATAGTTTCCGACTATGTTCTCAAGGTACTCTTGTTTTTTTGTTGAGAATGTTCTCAAATTGTATCAACTTATAGATTCTGGGTCTCGACATTTGCGGAGACATCTTTGTGGGGAATGACATGTTGAGAGGAATTTCCGGAGGTCAGAAGAAAAGAGTCACTACAGGTACTTTATCTTCTTGTTTAGTTTTCTTAATAGCAAAGGTTATAATTGTGCCCAGGGGAGATGCTTGTTGGGCCCGTAAAAGCATTTTTCATGGACGAGATTTCTACTGGTCTGGACAGCTCAACAACTTATCAGATTGTCAAGTGTCTCAAGCAATCCGTTCATGCAACGAGTGGCACTATGGTCATCTCATTACTGCAGCCGGCGCCTGAAACATATGATCTGTTTGACGACGTTATTCTCTTGTCCGAGGGCCAAATCGTATACCAAGGACCTCGTACTAATGTTCTTGAATTCTTCGAGGCTCAGGGATTCCGATGTCCAGAAAGAAAAGGCGTCGCTGATTTCCTACAAGAGGTCTGACTTTAGACTTGGTTTTAAGCTCTACTCACTAGTTCATGCATCAGGTGACTTCGAGAAAAGATCAAAGTCAATACTGGGCATTGGATGAGCCATATTCATACGTCTCCGTGGAGGACTTCGTTGAAGCGTTTAAAAAATTTAGCGTGGGTCAGCAACTTGTATCGGAGTTATCACGACCGTTTGACAAGTCAACCAGCCATCCCGCGGCTCTGGTTACCGAGAAATTCTCATTAACAAACTGGGAACTGTTTCAGGCATGCCTTGCCAGAGAATGGCTGTTGATGAGAAGAAACTCGTTCCTCTTCATTTTCAAGGCTATACAGGTAACAACTATTGTTTTTTTTTTTTTTTTGCTTTTTATCTCCCAATATTCAACATTCTTATCTCTTTTCCAGATTAGCATTGTTTCAGTCATCGGGATGACAGTCTTTTTGCGTACCGAAATGCATCATGAAACCGTCGGGGATGGAAACAAGTACCTTGGTGCTTTGTTTTATGGCCTGCTCAACGTAGCCTTCAATGGGATGGCTGAAATGGCCATGACCGTCGTCTATCTTCCAGTTTTCTACAAGCAGAGAGACCTCTTGTTCTATCCTGCTTGGGCGTATGCACTGCCAGTCATACTTTTGAAAATCCCGGTGTCTGTTATGGACTCTGCAATATGGACCGTCATCACTTACTATGTTATAGGCTTTGCACCAGAGGCTAGCAGGTAACTGTTTTCTTTACCTGATGGTTGATTTGCCTACACGGCTATTGCAGGTTTTTCAAGCAGTTCCTCCTCTTCATTTGTCTCCATATTATGTCGCTGGGATTGTTTCGCATGGTTGGCGCACTGTCTCGAACTATAGTTGTGGCAAACACTCTAGGCTCTTTCCAGTTCCTGCTTATGTGCGCACTAGGAGGCTTTATCTTGTCCAGAGGTAAACATTGTTGGTCGCTTTTCCTTCTCGCTCAGCAAGAATTTTTGTGCAGAGAACATTCCAAATTGGCTAACTTGGGGTTACTGGAGTACACCGCTGTCTTATGCGCAGAATGCACTCTCTGCCAACGAGTTTCTTGCCCATCGCTGGCAAAGAGTACATGTTTCTTTGCTGCTGTTTGTTGTGTTGCTCACCAAAACTTTCGTTGTAGCCTTCTAATTCTTCAGATACTGTTGGAGTTGCTTTCCTTAAAT